TCATCCCTAATAATCATCACAGGGATATAGCAAACTAATGATTAACAAGGCAAGTTTCTCTAACTTTGTTATCAGTTGCTTACACGTGGAAACAAAAGCAGCCCAAAGAGTAGTTCTTCCACAGTTGTTTGTGATCAAACACCAACCACAGTTCTTATAAACAACAGTCCAGCAAAACAAAGATACTAAAACAAACAAAACCATCAAGTTAAAATAAACATTCTGGAGAAGAAAACAACAATCTCAGACCCTCCTCAATCAAATCGCAGATCTACGCAGAATAATTATTTTATATAGTTTATCAATGACAAACACGTAACAAGATGTACGTAATTAAGCTACAGTGTTGGAGCAAGATGGCATCAAAGAAAGATTTAGCACCAATTAGCAAAATAACATGTTTTAATATATAATGTTTTAAACAATAATTTTTTGAGGAAACACTAAAGCCAGGGCATAAAACTTAGAAAATACGGTCACTAAGTCCTGCATGAGGGGAAAAAAGAATTAAAAAAAAAAAAAAAAAGCTCTGATAATTTTATCCATTACCTGCCAAAAAATGCCACTTTCATGTGTCTCCGTGAAAGCACCTCACCAATGACTGCTAGCTTATCCTTATATGCCTGTATCCTTGATAGTTCATCTTCTGTTGCTACATGTTCAAGCTCTGGGTTCCTGTATGTTCCTAGACATACAAAAAGAATAGCACAAAAGCAATCACATACAGAGTACATGCTGCAGGATACAAGACACAGATTATCAGTACTTCACGTGCCAACATAGAGCTGTCTAAATTTTAATTATACAACTGTAAACAAACTGAACCAAACAAAAAAAACACATTACAGCCCCAGGGCTAGGCTCTCTCCTCCTGTCAGGATTAACCTGCGGGATGAGCAGCCAAGTTGGCTTGGCAACACATGCTCCTCCGCACTACTAACACTTCTGAGGGTGTAACCAGTGCTTCGTTGTGCTCTGACAAGCTGACTGACTTTTGTACTGAATTTTGGGAGAACCTGTCTGGTCCCTTGTCTGTGCAGAAGAAACTGCACGACTGCTAACACTGACTGCGGTCAAGCCTTCACCCTCGCTGCAAGGAGGCTAGGCTACCAGCCCAAATAATTCCCCAGCCTCTCGTATATGTAACCAGCCTAAGCGTTCCAGCTTGCCCAAGTTGAAAGCATCCAACTCAGAGGAAAAAAACGCAACTTTTCTGGAATAAGCTGACACGTACGGCATATTAACGTGTATCATTATGCACGCTGTGCTACCAGAAAGCGAATTCAAAGCAACAGACAAGGCCCTTGGGTTTAAGAGGAAAACTAACCTTCGACAAAAGTTGCTCCTTCAGTGACATAGTCCAACAGCTGGTCAAAGATAGCAGTAATGGTCTTTTTAGCCAGCACAAAGTGTTTCAGTGGAGACACAGCAGGTTCTGCCATTGTGCAACTGTCGGGAAAGTTACATAAAAGTCACTGCAACACTCAGGACACCAACAAAAGCGAAAAGTCATGCAAGGTCTCACACAGTAAACGTTTAAGAAAATAAGTACAATGAACGCTAATAAAAGTTAATTTACACTAAATTTTATTATCCTGACAACCTCTTACTTTTCCCTAGTCACGGCGGGGGCGGGGAGGGTTACAAAAAACAAGTCTACGAAGACTAAGTTTTCCTCTCTGGTTTCTCACAACACCAAGAACACCCTACTTCGCCTGCTGGTATAAACTTTAACATTTAAAACATCGGCCACAGCACTTCAAATCCCTGGGTTAGTTGCAGCCAATCTTCAAACACGAGCTCACCTAGAAAACTACCCAGCTGGAACTCTACCTAAGGAGCAACGTTTCGCCCCAGTTTCCAGCCGGGTGCCGGCACCACACACCCGCGCCGGCGGCTTTTTTGCCTTTTCCAGCCCAACACGCGTCTG